TGCCGGAAACGACACAGTTCTGATAGAATTGGCGAAAGGCTTGGACATACAAGGTGTCTTGGTATCCATCCATTTTGCAATTGAAGAAAGCCGCCTTATCACCTTGGACGCGAAGCGCCACTGCTTGGTGGCCTTGGGGACCGGCTGTGTTTTCGAATCCCATCGACTTGGCGATGAATCCATCTCCAATAACAGCTATAGTAGGAATAAATAATTATATAACAGACTTTGTTAGAATCAAGCAATAATAACAAAAGGAAAAAGGAAACCGAATGTTAGGTTGATTAGGTCCAACATACAAAATGAGGCAGTTCGAAATGTGGAGGTGCCTGTAGCGTAGCTCTTCTTTCCGGTGACAATTGTACTCGTTGGCCCATCTCCATACATGAAAATATTATTTTGACCTTTGGTAACTATAATGTATTCATCATAGGTCCCGGCTTTCACATAGATAACATATCTAGATACGCTATTCTTGGGGCATGCGGCAATTGCTTCAGCAATTGTCTTATATTGCCCACTACCATCYTTGGCTACCACTGCATTGGGTGTCAACTGTCCATTGCCTTGCAGAGCTAAAAGCTTACGGTCCTTTAGTGTAAACCAAGTAGGGTAACCTTGTGCATCTAGAAGTCGGCGTCGAGAATTGATGTTTGTGTCCAAGCGGATATTTAAGGCTCTGAGTATCGCAGACAACTCGGTGACGATGGCGAGGGCATTGCCAGTAAGTTGAGTGGCATTGAGGAGCCCGTTCTCCATTGAACTCTTCAGCTTTGGGTGTTCGAATCCCTCGGTGCATGTCTCTTCATAAGACACGACAGCGCTCAACCAGTTCTTGAGCTCCGCAACARGATCACTTGCTGGGTGCCTTTTAGGGTCATTCACCATGGAGATGGCGGATTGCAACTCGGAGATGGCATATTGCATCAATTCCTTGCAATCCCCGACTGCCATCTTATCGATGGAGCTATTGGCATCTTTGCCTATGACCCCAAATTTTTCCAGTGCTGCTTGCACCTCCTCGACGATGGCCTCAAAGGAAGCTTTGAGGTAGTCATGGGGGGTAGCACTTTCATTTTTGGCTACAGGGGTAAGGGTTCTAATGCAAGAATCTTCGTAGTAGGCGGAGGCACAGATTGCGCTGACGCTTTTCATTGTCGTTGATGTACTACCGCTGGCAATGTCTTTTGAAGACAAGTCATCCTTTGGATGCCTACCTTTGTTTACACCAACAACGGTACCGATAACGACACCAACAACAAGGATGAGTGATATACCAAGGGCTATAAGTTTTCCCATTTCTCTAATTGCCCACTTTCACTTTCTCGCTCCGCTTAACAAACAGAGGTTGAGGTTGAGGACCTAGCCAGTGTGCGAGGAGGTTTATAACATGTACGGTTAATCCCAATTTAGCATAACTACTAACTAAAGAACATGAAAGTTGCATTAAGAATGGGGACTTTGACTGTACATTATTGTTCTTTAGGGAAACAAGCAGTTGGAGGTAGTCCCACATTTCTTATTAACCACCGGTTCTCCTATAAGAACTCATAATTAATTAATCATATAATACTTTTGACTTTTTTGTTTCCACTTTCTATTTTTTTCAACTTTGAAAGAACAATCAGATCCTAAAATACATTAATATATATATATATATATATATATATATATATATGTGTGTGTATGTGGGGCAACTTTCCCTAAAAATAGAAAGCAAAACCCAAGGGGCTCATATTCAAGAACATCTATTTTATGCCTCGTTCTTGGGTACAAATGAGCATAACCAAATTCCATTATATACAAAAATAATGATGCATGACATAATGAAAACCACATAAAATAACTGCTACAGAGCATAGGTAATCTTAATCTTTTTGTTAATTTTTAAAGAGTGGGCCTCATTGAAAGGATGAGAAATCCATCATATGGATAGTCGAACCCTGCAGGTAGATAGGGTGAAATTTCAAAATTTTCTATCTCCCATGTGGAATTACATTCCCTATTTTAAAAAATCTGCATTTTCAAGGATCAATCTTGAACCTAAACCGAACCAGATCTGATTCCAAAAGGTAGGAGAGGATATACCTGATTCGGAGTACCAGTAACTCCCAACGAAGGTGTTCACGTCCAAGGAAAATGCCAAAGACTGCTTCCACTGAATATGACACAACGTAGGGTGGAGGGTGAGTGAGCATGACTTTAGATCAGTTTTTCACCAAAAACACTTCTTGATCGCTCCTACAGGTGGCGAACGAACTGGCAATGGCGGCAACAATAGAAGGAGGCAAGAGCAGAAGATGGCGTCAGTCTTACTGGAGCTGTCTTCTCTCTTGTATCTGAAATCAGAATTGAGTGAATTGGGGTTCCCCCTCCTCCTCTATTTATAGCCTTAAAGAGAGTCCTCCTAATCTCATTAGGAGTTTCCTAATCCAAATCTTGTATTTAGATTTAGACTCTATTTAAGAGATAAGGATAATCCCTTATCTTATCTGCAGATAAAGATCATTCCTCCTAATCTTATTAGGAGTTTGCTAATCCAAATCTTTATTTGGATCTAGACTCTCTGAGTGGATAGGGATAACTCCCTATCCTATCAACTGATCTAAATCCCAGAACCACCCCTTTTTAATTAATCAAATTAAACCAGTTCGAATTGGGCTTTAGGCCCATTAAGTCCAAGTGCTCATTCAGCTTCCAAACTGCTGCCCAGTTGGGTATCCTTGTATGGCGTGGGACCTAACCATTGATCTACACATCAGCCACATCGGTTAAGCCCAGCCTCTGTTACAAGGCCTGGCCGAATTCATTGTGAGAGACAGTGAACCCCTGAGCCCATCACCATGGACTCTTAATGGGCCTAACACATACACTAAGTGGTCATTGGGTCAAGCCACCTTATAAAATCCCAGTGACTGTGGGCAGATGCAAGATTAGCCCATCAGGCATTATCCTCAATGGTCTTACACTTAACCTCTCAGCCCATAATGATCAAACACTGCCCGACAAGAGAGGACCTCCCTCGGCTACAAGGA